ATATATGTATTCAATCAACTTTCGAAAAAGCAATTTTAAAAGTTTGTCATTCATTAGTTAAAGCAATATGAAAAATGTTTTGATAATAATAAAATTAAAAACTTTGAATAAAACAAAATAACGTTATCAATATATTAATTTTTTTTTACAGTTTTAGTCCATAATTTTTTTGGACAGACTGTGCACAATTTTTGAGATATTTTTATGCAAAATTTCTAGAAAAGTTTTCTTATAAATTTGAACATAGAATATGAAACTTAAGGTAAATTATAGTTCTGTTTGGGAATTATAACATGGAAATTATAGCATGAAATAAATGGTGGATTTCAATTTTACGCAGAAAGTTATCAATTTAAAATTGTTTTTGCGAATTTTGCTTTATGTGAAACGCAGAGTGACGGATCTTGTTTTACATGGAAAATAGAGGTGTGCGAATCAAGCCTTTGCGTGATTGAATCGAATCGAATCAAATTTTTATAACATGTTCGAAGTCGAATCGAATCGAATCGAATCTGAATCAAATTTTCCCAGATTAACATTACATTAGGCGATCGATTCGAAATCGAACCATTGTTGATTCGAAATTCTCGAACTATTCGATTTCGAAAATATACTACAATGAGAGATAAACCTTGCTTTGAATGAAAATAGGAATTTAGATATGTAATGAATAAATAAATAAATTATTTTGTGTGCGCGTGTGTGCGTGTGTGCGTGTGCGTGCGTGCGTGCGTGCGTGCGTGCGTGCGTGCGTGCGTGCGTGCGTGCGTGCGTGCGTGCGTGCGTGCGTGCGTGCGTGCGTGCGTGCGTGCGTGCGTGCGTGCGTGCGTGCGTGCGTGCGTGCTGCGTGCGTGCGTGCGTTGCGTGCGTGCGTGCGTGCGTGCGTGCGTGCGTGCGTTGCGTGCGTGCGTGCGTGCGTGCGTGCGTGTGCAATTGTGAAAGTATTTATTATACTTTTTATGAGATTTATTATTTATTATTTTATGCTTTCTACATAAAGATTCATTAATATCTTAGCAAATTTTTTATTCAAAATAAGATCATTTATTATTATTTAGTATTTTTTATCATCTACATTTTAATTTTATTTATAAATAAATTTTTTTGAAATATTGAAAAAATTAGTTGTTACAACTTTTTACATTCGATATACCTCTAGACTGATACATAAAGCCCCTGTATAAGTCGCAACACGCAAAACGTAAACGCGGACGCAAGATGATGTTTGTCTTTTTTTTCTTTTTTTAAATGTTTTTTTTCTCCGCGTTTGCGTTTTCGTGTTGCGACTTATGTAGATGAGGCTTAACACAGCTACATAAAAAATTTGGCGTTATTGGAAACATGATCACTGTTAATAATCATTGCATATTTTCTAAAATATAATAAATATTTTTTATTTTTTGAAATAACAAGAGATTAAAACACTATTATATTATATTATGTTTGAAGAGGATTTTTATAGAGCTTGTCAGTATCAAAAATATTAAATTGCTTGTCAATTTAATTCGTTGCAGTAGATTCCGGCTTCATGTAAAGATGTGTTATAAGACCGACAAAAAGTGCGGCACACAGTTTGTATGTGGCTAGATATTATTGACTAGATGTTGTAACGATAAAAATTATTATACTAATATTCGTGTCGGCATTGCATTGGCATTATTTTGTGCATTATCTCTGATTTATTTTTGAGAGCTTAATTGCTTTCAATTTAAATTCAATTTAAAATTACTATCATATTAATTATTATATTTTTGTATCTGTTTATTATGTTATAATTTATATGTATATTTCTTTAAAAATTCTATTTTATAATTTATAATTTCGGCTTGTATTAATTGCTTTAAATATATTTATTTTTTTATCCATAATCATAGTTATAAAATTGCAAGTTAGTAGGATAAGTTGTTACTTTTTCTTAATTTTATAATAACTGATTTAATTTAATATTGATATTTATAATTAAAACGAATTATGACGCTGAAGCTACTAGACGGACCTAGGAGTAAGGAGACAGCTGCCGCGCGACAGCGTTCGAGCAGCGATGCTCAACCATGTTTTTGCTCATAGTGTCTAATGCGCTAAAGAATCGTTCTATTATTTTAAAACAAACATTACGCGCCACTTGAGAATAGTTACAAAGTAACATTTTAGATTTAACAAAAAGAATCCAGAAAAAAACTAATAAATATGACGTTCTAATTAGACTTACAGGCTGCATTCGAAGATCGGAAGAGCACACGTC